CAATACCCTATACGTGATTTATGTTTGCACAAGTATCTCAGTTACAGAATTGAATAAATCTTATAACCGTGACAATGAATGTAAAAGCGTCTATCTTGTATCTTAAGATGATATCGATAAAAAATTGTGAAAATTTGCTTACCTTTTTTCGTGAGAAACATGATTTCGAGCATCAACGATTTTGCTTTGTATACATTCGCCATGATCGGTTTCTTCAGCTGGAAGAACACTGTTTCGCGAGTTGAGAAGAATATAACTCTATCTAAGATGGAGATCGATAGTATCATATCTGAATCATTACTTTGCTAATATAAAAAATATAAAAAGAGGAGGACCCAAAGTGAATACACATAATTATGTGCACACTTGTGCAAAAAAACGTTTAATAGTCAACAAATGCATTTGGTGTGGCGTTTCAATACAATATTTGGTAATTTGTATCAAATACAGTAATAGTTGTCAAATCATTTGGTAATAATTATTAAATACAATATGCTTTTATTTAATAAATTATTTGATAACACGTGTCACACACACACATATACGTTGGTAATAGTTACCTACTCTTGGCTTGGGAACACCAAGTCGTGCTAAGAAAGAATATTTATTAGTACTCACTAAATTATTTGATTATATTCACCGGCATGTTTAGTTAAAACTTTCGCCAAAATATCTGGTAATTATTATCCAAGTTTGATGATTATTTCCAACTTTTTTTCTCAGTACACTGAGCTATAAAGATTTAATGAGATTCTTTTCCGATCTTCAACGCTGTGTCTGCACTTATTCGATCGAGCGGTTGAGTGATGAAATTAAGTGACCGCGGAAATTAAAATTGAACTCGGCACGTCGCGAAGAACGCGTAAATAAGTTAAAAGCCGCGCCGCGTCTTCGACCACCGGAAAGTCGCGCCTCGCCGCAGAATTTTCCTCATTCTCCTACGCGTCTCTCTCTCTCTCTCTCTCTCTCTCCCTCTTTCTCTCTTTCAAATGAGCGAGCTGCAAGCTTCTTTCGTGCTTTTCCTTATCGTCTCGCGTCCCTCGACGAAGGAGGGCAATACGAGAGAGAGAGTGGAGAAACCCTTTTATTTCGACCGAGGTCGCGGTCGTCCCGAGGCGACGAACTTCCAGCGTCCCTTCTCGTAATGATGAACTCGACTTTGCGAAACTTTCGAACGATCGCTGCACCAACTTTTCGCCCCAACCCCCGTCGCCGGCGTCGCGACGACGCGCGACCACCTACGGCCGTTTGGCCCATTAAGCACTACGGACACAATGCTTTTTAAGGACTCCCGAAAATATCCGGCAGCCGGATAAGATTTATCGATTCGCCAGGGTGAACCGTATAACTTGGCCGCCTGAAATGTACCCGTTCCGATAATACAGGAAAATGCCGAATGACGTAATGCGGACTTTCGCGTTTCAATCTGGAGACACTTCGAGACAATCACACCCGAGTCGTAACTTAGCTCCATATTAACCTTGCACATTTCATCAAACTTGAAGGATCAATGCAAGAGCTATAACATTACAAGAGATATAACATTACACAGGCTAATGTTCCGTTCTGAGATGCTATGATCTCTTAGTTGCACCTTCCTCATGCCAAAGTTTAAAGACGAACCAACTGAAAGCATAAATATAACATAAATTAATGGATAAGTGGATGAATTAAATAACACATTTTCTTTCTTCTCAATTATTCCCTTTATTTCTTGACGTTAGAAGTCTCAGTAGGATTTGGACATTCAGTGGAAGCTGAAAGTAAGGATTGATATGTTCGGTAATGCTGCGCGCGAATAGAAATTTAAACTGGTTTTGATATAATAATAAATAGAATAAACAAAAATGAACAAATTAAAGATATTGACAGACGATTGTCAGGATTTTTGGATAAGTAACATTATTGGAAACACTAATCAGTGTTTATGCGAGATTTACACTAAATAAATGAATTTTTACTTATATCTTTATCCTCAGTATATTCGTCAAACACTCATTAAAATGGGAAATATTATATGGGAAGCATTATTGGAGACACAAATTAGTGTTTATGCGAGATTTACACTAAATAAATGAATTTTTATTCATATCTTTATTCTCAGTATATTTGACAAACGCTCATTAAAATGGGAAATATTATATGTAATGAATGGCGGTCACAGACAAATATTCAATGCATAAAATTTCCAAAACAATCAGCGCAGTAATCGTTGTTATCTGTCAATCAATAACACTCACATTCGATGAGCGTGCGATCACAATTATAATATTAACGCTATCAAAACTTGCCGGATCTTGGAAGCGTTCGGATGGTCGCACACATCAGAAGTTGTAAATCATAAGTTGTTTTTAAATGTAGAACATTTAAAAAGTCGTATATGATTATTTATTTTTATGTTTTATAGAACACGGTATATTCCACGGCGCTTTCACTCCACAATTCAAAGTCGGTCGTTGGCTATGAAAGCGGATTGAACACGCGACTGCACCGTGACGTCGCCAATGTGATGCGAAATCAGTGGAAAACCACATTTCCGCAATGCCACGGTCGCGCAGATCGCGCCACGCACACAGCGTAAAGCAAATGCATAATTTAAACCGAAGTGTCGTGTTTTCGTAAACTGCGATTTCCATGTTCAATTGAAATCCGCATTCCTTCACCGCCAAAGATTGATACTCTTAAGATTGATACTCTATAACCACCTGACAAACAGTATCGTGCAAACTCTATTAATAAAAATTATATATATATATATATATATATATATATATATATATATATATATATTTGATAAATTTTCAAAAATCATGCTAACTATAAAAGTAAGTTGAAAAATTACGCAATATTAACATTCAGACGCCGAAATAACGAGTTATATAAATGTATTTTGAAAAATTGTTATGATTGTATAAACTCGTTATTAAAATATAGTTTAACCCTTAAGCACTGATAGGAGTCTGATAAACTCCCAATGAAATAAAAAAATCTATTGCTGTTTTATTCCCACTTAAGCATGTACACATCGCGTCCGTCTATCTTTTCTTTAGCGAAGTGGTGACAAGGAAAAATGTTTCGCACACTTTCTCAGATAATTATCAAACTTCGAAATATTTTTGTATTGGGAATGCATTAATTTTAAAGGATTTTCAAGAGATGACGTAACTAGTACTATATCTCATCGGGCCATATTGTTGCTACCTTCATGTCAAAGCACCATCATGTGGCTTTAGTTTTCAGTATGTGTCATTTTGCCGAAGTGTAAACAACATTGTTTTTTGAGCATTGAATTTGTCGAATTTTGTGCCGACAAAACGCAATTCGCGGGAAGCTTTGCTTTTTTGCTTCCATTTGAGTAAAAGTGCTTTTGAAAGTCAACGAATGCTGTTGGAAGCTTATGATGATTATATTCCATCGATTTCAACGTGTGAGTACTGGTTTCGACGCTATAAAAAAGGTGATTTTGACACGGAAGACAAGGAACGTCCAGGCCAGCCGAAAAAGTTTGAAGATGAGGAAGTGGAAGCTTTACTCGATCAAGACCCGAGTCAAACGCAAGAAGAACTTACAGAATCATTAAATGTTGATCAATCAACGATTTCCAGACATTTGAAGGCTATTAGAATGATTCAAAAGCAAGGAAATTGGGTGTCGTACGAGTTGAAGCCGAGGGACGTTGAAAGGCGCAAAATGACCCCTGAATTGTTGCTTCAAAGACACAAAAGAAAAAGTTTTTTGCATCGTATCGTGACGGGTGATGAAAAATGGATACGCTACGATAATCCGAAGCGCAAAAAATCACGGTGCAGGCCAGGTGAACCATCAAGATCGACGGCAAAGCCAAATATTCATGACGCCAAGATCATGCTCTGTATTTGGTGAGATCAGCTGGGTGTAATGTATTATGAGCTGCTCCAACCCAACGAAACCATCATTGGGGAACGCTACCAACAACAATTGATGCAATTGAGCCGAGCATTGAAGCAAAAACGGCCAGATTACGTGAAAAGACACGACAAAGTGATTTTTCAGCACGATAACGCTCGGCCACATGTTGCGAAACCGATCAAGGAAACGTTAGAAGCGCTTAACTGGGATGTCCTACCACACCCGCCGTATTCTTCAGATATTGCTCCTTCTGATTACCACCTATTTCGATCGATAACTCATGGCCTGTTTGAACAGCGCTTCCATTCTTATGAGGATATAAAAAAATGGGTCGATTCGTGGATAGCCTCAAAAAATGTGTCGTTTTTTTAACGTGGAATCCACCTACTAGAAAGCTGGGAAAATGTAGTGGCTAACGATGGACAATATTTTGAATGATCAATTTGTAATCATCTTTTTACAATAAAGCAATATTTTTACTAAAAAATCCCTTAAAATTAATGCACACTCCTAATAGGTCTGTGTCAGTGCTTAAAGGTTAAGCATCAGTCCACAAATTTTATCACGTCAGTTTAATATTACTTAGAACAATTCTCATGTTTGTCGATTTTATTTTGAACGTGCTCCAGAGCATTTTATAAGTTCAATCGATCTCAAGTGTTTTGTATAAGTATCTTTTTATCTAGAAATGACGCGCGAAATTTGCAACGTGTCATTTCTCGCTTCTAACACCACAATCCAACATGCCACGGCGCATACCCCTTGAAATTAGGGGAATTTCATCTTTTATCTAAAGATGCAAACCTTGCTTATCGCGTCTCTTGTGTCAAATGTAAGAAGGCATTCTGCTTCAAGATGAACATATATTCTTCTTGACTCAAAGGGAAGAAAACAAGTTGGAGCAAAATTTTCGATTAATTGATCAATAGATCACTTCATTGGTAGAAAAGGATACTCTGTTGGCAAAAGTTTTCGCTTATTAGAATATTAACATAATATGAGGAAATAGAGCATCTTGCAACTAGGACTTTTTTCTTTGAGAACTCTGGAAGCTCGTTGATTACGTTCACTGTTCAGGAGATGTCATCACACATGAAGTAACGCATTTTCAGATGGTCAAGTGTTACCGACTAGTCGACGCCAAGAGGTGTCCCAGAACGGTACTCTGGTGCTGCATCGCGTCGACAGCAGCACCGATCGCGGTGCATACACGTGCACCGCGAAGAACAAGCAAGGTCGCTCCGACTCGCAGACCATTCACATAGAAGTCAAAGGTAAAGTTTCTCGCTCCTGCACGTTTATCCCTTTCGCCCTCTGTCACTGCACGCCCGTACACGCCAATTTTATATCCGTTTAAATTGGAACAACAGTGCCCCGCGAACGACGTCGATCCGTTCTGTCGGGATTTTCCGCGGCCTCTCGAGGACACACGGCCACAAAGTCGACGGCCATGACTGTAATCGCGACAAAGGCTTTCACGATGAAATGCCCGGACGTCGAGTCGGGAGAAATCGCTCGATGCGTCACGCCGCGCGCGACGGATTCGCCGCTAAATCCGAAAGCCGCGAAGCTCCGAATTTTTATCAAGCATTTAACGGCCGTGCTTCACCGCGGGGAAGATAACTGCGACTTATAAAATAGCAGCGCGCAGAGTGATCGTTTCGTATCCGAATGTGAAATTTATAAGTCACGCGGAACAAGATACGTCGGGTTAGGATAAGCGTTTGATAAAAGAGTTCGAGTATATATCGATGAAACACGTTCGAGTGCATCCTTCTTTGTGAAAGACCGTTTCGATGGTACATCAGAATTTTAAATCGATGGCTGCGCGCGCGAAATAGCGAGCGTTTTATTGAATGTGGATTTTTATTTCGCCTATCGAAGCACGACGATTTTTCTGTCTTTCTCCTCTCTCTATCTTTCTCTCTTCCCCTCGTTCGAGACGCACACACACACACACACACCGCCGACGTTCGTCGCAGGGAAATTTGTAGCGCTTCGCGCGTATAATAGTAGTGCGTTCCCGCGTACAATAGGGGTACGAAGGAAGTACCTCAAGTGCACGTTATTTCCGAGATCGAACGAGACTCTCCTGCCTCTTCGTATGAGTGCGCGCGCGGGAAGCTCTCTATGATTTAAAAAGAAATCCCAGCCGCTTCATTTCTACCGTTCGTATACATGCGTCTCCGTTCGGCTGTGTCTCGAAGCAGGCTATTTCGAGAGATAAATCACCTCGCGAGGACTTTCATGCGCGCGTTTATTCTCTCTTTCTCTGTGAAATACGCCTTGTCTACAAATTTACTGCCAACGTGGTACGTTTACAATGATCATGAGCGACTGTTGTTGGAAAGATAGATTGTTATTTCAAAACAGACGTACTTGTTTCCAGATTTTCAATTTTTAATTTAAATAACACCGGATGAGAAAGAGAGAAGAGAAATGTATATTTCTGAGAGGTCTCAAAATACACGAGCACTCGAGAAACTGTTTGTTCATCTGTTTTATTGAATGTGAATTTTTATTTCGCCTATCGAAGCACGATTTCTAAAATAAACAGGATCGATGAAGCAATTAGAACAATTTTTTTAGAACCAAATATCCTTTTCTGCTACGGCGGTAATTAAAAGTGCAATTTGGATTTAGACATCGTTTTATCTGATCGAGGGCACTGTTGTTCCATCAAATAACGTGATCTAATCCTTAAATTTTTTCTGAAAATAAATTTCTAACGCAGTGTTGCCGTGGAAATAAATAGCACCACTTAATCGATATATTCTGAAAAATCTTCTCCCGGACTAATGACAATTTCAGGTGCATGATTTTTATGCTGCGATCACGTCGAGCAAAATACGCAGGTAGGATATATGAATGTGTTTGCGACAGTTACCGAGAATATTATTCGCACAATTATGAAGCCTTCCTTCATGTACCGGTAACCCAAATCCTTTGAGTCGAGAGGGTAACGAGTTGCGAAAGTCAATACATGCATATGCAAACGTATACATTGAATATTCCACGAAATTCGATATATTGAATTAACACGTTAGAAATACATCAATTGGCCATAGTTATATAAGAATGATCCAATCTATATGAAGTATCGAGAATAATGGGAATGAACATTCGATACATAATTTAAGAAGTATAGATGGCACTGAAGTTCGCAATCGTTCGAGCGTGATCAATTTTCTTCTCTGTTCATTAACAAAAGCTTAATTAAAAAAAAAAATGAACAAATGAGATGCAACTACTAAAACATGGCACAACTAATAAAAAGTAAAAACTTACATTATTTTTAAGAGATAAGGCTTGGATCTTTTTATGTACACTGTAAAAACTGATGTGTTAAATTTAACACATTTCATATGTCCTAAATCATTCACTCTCACTTATGTGTATATTTAACACAAATGTGTTAAAAAGTGACACACATGATATGGAAAGAATTAACACAAGAATTTAACACTTGAATACCATTAAGAATCACAGGTTGTGTTAAGCTGACATATTTAATATGTCAGACAGATCAAATCAATTTAACATTTTCATTTCATCAAAACTATAGATTAATACTTCTCTCAAATGTTAAATTAACGTTTTATTTTAGTTAATTTAAAATTATACATATGTCAATTTAACACAAACTGTAATTCCTGACGGTATTCAAGTGTTAAATTTTTGTGTTAATTTTTCACATATTATGCGTGTTACTTTTATCATATTTGTTTTGTGTTAAATTTACACATAAATGAGAATGGATGATTTGAGACACATGAAATGTTAAATTTACACATAAATGAGAATGGATGATTTGAGACACATGAAATGTTAAATTTAACACATCAGTTTTTACAGTGTACATAAAAAGATCCAAGCCTTATCTCTTAAAAATAATGTAAGTTTTTGCTTTTTATTAGTTGTGCCATGTTTTAGTAATTGCGTCTTATTTGCTCATATTTTTGTTTTTAATTAAGCTTTTGTTAATGAATAGAGAAGAAAATTGATCACGCTTGAACGATTGCGAACTGTTGATAAAAAAAAAAAGGAAAATTCGAAGATCATAATTTTACGGGTTGAATCATTCTCGCATAACTATGGCTACTTATGCATTATAATATTCCCTTCGAAATTTTTCGGGAAATGATTCTCAATCGAGAAACGAAGCATAAGCGGTAACCCCAGACGACCAGAAGAACCAATGCTACTCTACGACTTGGAGCTGGTCCAGTATCCAACGATCTCCGACTACTATGCGCGCACGTAGCATCGTTTCTTCCGCTGTTGCACGAGACGTCGAAATATTACATAAACAATTGCCCGCTCACTCACACTCACGTATGAGAGAAGCACTTCTCACTCCTCTCGATTCAACCGCTCCTTCCGGTACGACGCGTCAGCCACCCCGACGACGCCGACGACGCCGACGACGCCGACGTCGGCAAGAACGACGACGACGACGACGACGCACGTCGTCGCGATCTGAAATAAACCTCGTGCTTCCTGTAATTTGCAGTACCGCCTAAAATCGATCCGTTTAGCTTTCCCGACAATATCCAGGCGGGCGCACGGGTGCACGTGACCTGTGCGGTCAGCGAGGGCGATTCACCCCTGAAGATCACCTGGCTGAAGGACGGCAGGCCGTTGAAGCCGCGGGAGGCCACCACTCACCATATCGGCGAGTTCGATCTCGCGTTGAGGATACAGAGCGCGTCGACCGCGCATAACGGCAACTATACTTGCGTGGCGAGCAACGATGCCGCCAAAACGTCCCGCACGGCGTCCCTCTTGGTCCACGGTATGCAACAACCGGTGTCCACAGACGAGGAGGAAAAGATACCGGCAAACCCTACCCGACCCCTCAGCCACGAAAAGTCACCCTAATGTTCCTTACAATGAGACGAAAGCGACGCGACGCGACGCGATTCGGACCGGATTACCTTTTCTAATTCCGACACTTGGCGCGATCAAAGCTTCCTCGTGCGTCCCTCTCGCGCTTCTTTGTCGTTGCCTCATCATGTTGTTTTATTGCCCTCATTGACGACTTCGTTGCGTTTCTTTCGGCGATCGGCTTGTACGTCATTTCGCATGCGTCTAATCTGCGGGAGACTTGTCCGTGATATATCGCGACGTTTTTCCCCGGATTTTCCCAAATCAATTTCCATGATCGCGAAGCGAAGTGATCATTTTGTTTTCTTGGCGGGCGCGGCGCACTCCGACCGTTTTTCCGCGCGTTCGAGCTTTATTCCGCTGGAAAACCCTTTTTATCACGACCTCTCTTGATGGTTACGCGCGCGCGTGCGCGCGTCCTTGTTGGCGGCCGTTTGCGAAAGTACCGTGACAGGGGAAGAAATGAAGGAAAAACGCGATAGTCGCTATTAATCGACACGCGATACTCTTCAATCGAGGCCACTTGTCCACACAAGACTCGCGCGCGAGGGGATATCGTCGTGACGGATTGTTTCGCAATAGAAAAAAAGGGCAAAGTAAAAATGTATCGATGAATTTCCCTGGGAATCGAGAGGCGCGACTCGAGTCCTCCTTTTCTCCTCTTCTATTTTTAAAAGGAAAAACGACGAGCTCTGATCGAACGTGATTTGACGCGATGAAAAGTAAAAAGCGAGAAGCTTCATCAAAGATAACGCAATCGATAATCCCCTGCGCGATTACGTCGGGCCGCTGTTCTATTATTAAGGGGAAGACGGCAGGGTAAAAATAGCAGCGAGATATTTATCACTTTCAAAGGCTGAAAAATAAGGGACGGCCTGTACACACCGTCGTCGATGATGGGCGATGTGTATTACAAGCCTTGTCGACGGAAGAGATCCCCTAACCGCCCGTCCGCGTTTACATTTCTCCACCGTCACGAGGGTGCCGTCGTGCGTGTGTATGTGTGTGTGTATGGGTGCATTAAAAGCGCTTCTTCTTTCAACGAGCAAATCGCTGCGAGCGAAACGATGAACGGTGTTCCCCGTCGTCGACGCGGACGGACGAGCCGCCCAAGGGTGATTTCTGCGTTCTGTCGACGAGCAAAGAACAAACGGAGAGATGGACAGATCGTCCCTCTTCCTTCTTTTTCTTCCTGCGTTTCTTCTTATATACGTGTTTTATTTACACGTTCCCTCGGCACGCGCCAATGAAATGAAATTAAGCCGCGAGTACTCGCGCTGATGAGCGCAGCGCGCTAGCAGAGAATTGCTCTACTTTTTTTCTTCTTCTGCTTCTTTCTAAACCGTCCTACCTTCATTTCTGATTTTTGCAGGAGACACAGGATACGTGTGTTTATGAATCGCGGCGGAAGAAAAGGAAACGGCTTCATCTGTTCTTTAATGAATTCACGGGCGAAATTACCCCGAGCAAAAGTTCCGCTCGCCACCGTTTCCCCCGTCTCCTTAGCGTTCGGAAGTGAATATCTAGATAACTGAGTTTAATTAAAAGTGACGTTAAATTGCGCTCGAAAATAAACGTACAATAGATATATTCTGGTGAAGATATAGCCGTCTCGCAGAACCCACTCGATTTCCGGTAAGGCCGGTCATTAGATAAATTGCGAATGTGCCGTAATCATACTCTCTTAAAGTGAATAGTCATTGATATCAGTTACGAGTAAAGCATTGAGCATTGAGCACTTTCAGTGCTACACTTATAACTGCAAATCAGTGTCTATCCACTGTTTCCAATAATGTTTGACTGATTCATTTTAAGAGAATAGTTTCTCTAGTATCTGAAATTCAATAAAAAAAAAAGGAAAAGAAGAAGATCCCACTGCAGTAGGAAATATTTCAATTTGATAGATGGCGAGACCACGGCTGTCCGTCTCGCGCTCGTGATTTCAATCTAGAGGGACGCGGCCGCGAATTAACTTGGCGTGTTCGCGCGATCAATCGATAACTCCGGTCGCCAATTAAGGACGTCGACCGCCAAATTATCTTCCCGGCGAGAGGGAGTAATTCGCGTCGCGCGCTACTTCTCGAAACTATGCAACGAAATTTATCAACCCGTCTCCTAGCAAGAGCTTCTTTGTTGCCTCGCCGTCGCCGCCGCCGCCGCCGCCACCGCCACCACCGTCGTCGCCATCGTCGTAGTATCTCCACCACCTCCTACCACACCACCTTGTATCCTGTGCATGTACAGGGAACGTTTATATACGTATACGTATATAACGTACATATATATATATATATATATATGTATACGTATGTACATATCGTCGTGTACATACATGCGACAGACCTCTTTGGGCATTACTCACGTTACGTTGCGCTATCTAGTTCCCTACCGCGGTTCCTCAATTATTCTCAAACAACCGCCGCGTTCTGTTCTAATACCCCCGGGGCTCTACTCCGGATGCATCCTGTATACGTATCGCACGGTGCAACGAGGCAGGTTATTATTGTCGTTCCGCGGCATTACGCGCGTCGCGACGTACGTAGTCGCGTACGTACCCTGGCCGCGCTCTCTCGTCGAAAAGTCGACAACCAGGGGGATGAAACGGCAGATCCTCCCTCTTCCTCTCTGTCCCTCTCTCCGCTTGATTGTTTTCGCCGCTTGCATATTTCGCGAAATACGCTGGCGTCGGGACACACGCGGAAGAGAGAAAGAGAGAGATGGAGGAGAGAGAAGGAGAAAACACGCGTGTGGTAACGTATCAAACGGCACGACGTTTACGACGCCATCGCGGAGTCGTAATCCTTTCGTCGCTCGTGATGCGAAGAGACATCGCCGCGGGTTGTTCACGATCTGTACCGTGGACGGTGATGTCTTGATGGGAGGATAATAAAAAAAAGAAAAAGTGAGGGGAAAGTGAGTGTCTGCCTCGTCTTATGGAAGATTCGTGGACGCTTAATAAATGGCAAACGTACGTATGTACGCAAGATGTTTCGCATATGGATATATATATATATATATATATATATATATATATATATATATATATATATATATATATATAGA